TGGAGGAGGGTGTCATGCTTGGTGAAATAGAGAGCTGGTAAAAACAGGAAGAGCCTCGGTGAGATGACGCACATGGAGGCTGCAGCAGTGGGTTCAAACTGCAGCACCTGAGAGGATGATGAGGGACCCAGCAGTGTTCCGTTCCACTGCACACGGGGTCACCATACTTAGAGATGCCTCCGCGGCATCTACTAACAGCGGCAACATCAATGAACAAGTGGAGTGATAGGTCAGTTCCTGGGTTGATTATTCAGGTCAGCGTAAGACTTGAATTAGTTGGAATAGAAATGCCTGAATTAGGTGCGTAAAATGTTTCCCCTCTTGAGCTTCTCTACAACATTTTTCTGGCTCGCTCAAACACGTTGGCTTATTTCCTGACGTTTTCTTCTTTTGCTGTTTGTGAGCATTGTCGTCAAGTGTCCAGCTCATTGCTGGAAGTTCCAACAGCAATTTCCAAATTCCAGGTAAGTCATTCAAGTACATTGCCTTAATTTCTGGCCAATGCAAATGACTTTCCAGAGAGTGCACTGCCAGCCATATCCCACGATAATGGATGAGAACAGCATCTTAGTGTGTTGTAGTTTTTGTAATTCAAGACGTCTCAGGGGAGAGCGTGTCACTTCCCCCGACACTTCATACCTCAGGCAGATGAATTGCTGCTCAACCTGGAAAGTGGCCAATTCTCTAAATTGCCAAGATCGTACAGTAATGAATCTCATGTACGACAATAATAACTAAGCAGGAGAGGATTTGATGAAAGGACATTTGACCTGAATGATCTGAAAATGATCTACAGATGATAAAAAGCTCTTCCTTCTCTGAAACAGTTATGAGGTGTTAATTGACTGACTCTTGCGTGAAAGGTTTTGTGCTGGATTCCGCATCTGTGCAGTTCAGTGGGTTCTAGAAGCATGTGAACAGTAGGCTGGGCGTGAGGTCATTCCACATGAACTGTTTCTAGTGACTGAGCCCTCTGGACATCTGAGGTGTCACTCAAACCTCCAGAGATGCTCTGATTTCTAGGAATTGACTGGTGAGTTGCTCTGTAATTCAGAAGCAAAGAAGACATTTGGCAAATTCACGGTGTCCCTTTTCATGACTGAATTTAGATCAAATAGGGCTGTCTTATTAATCGGAAATTCAGGACACAGAGCACATCCTTGTGGAGGAATTTTCAGGTATTTTCCCTGTTTGCATAGGTTACCTACATTCTCATTTCTTCTTTTCTCTCCCCTTCTCTTTGCCATTGATTAGAAACCAACCCATAACTGACTCTTCACTGGATTTGCAAGGCTGTAAATTCCACAAGAGGAGATTGCCCATCTTTCTCCTGCAGAGCTGCTGGTGGATGCAGACCATCAGAGAGAGAGGCCTTGCATTGGATGAGCAGCACAGCTCTTTCCAGTCTGCACCACCAGCGCTCCCTGCCTTCTCTTGTTGTGGTTGCTGTGTGCCGTCAACTTGGAACTGACCCGTAGTTGATCCTCCAGCAGGATTTCAGAGGCTGTAAACTGCACAGGAGATTGCCCACCTTTCTCCTGTGGAGCATCTGGTAGATTTGAACTGCGTACCTTTGCACTGGCAGCTCATCTCCTTACCTCTAAGCCACCAGAGCTAAACAGTTCTAGAAATACTGTCCTAAAGTCTGTCCAGACTCATGGGGACTTTGGGTTCAACAGAACAAATCTTACCTGGTTATCTGCCAATCCTGCACCATCCTCATCGTCTCTGCCCCTCTTAAACTTAACATGACAGCCACTGTGTCAGTCTAGACTCTTGAAGGCCTTTCCTCTCCTTTACTGACATGCTGATTTAATGGACATGATGTCTTTTTCCTGGGACTGGACCTTCCAGGGAACATGCTTAAAGGTCACCCTGGCTTTTAAGTGACACTCTGGTGCACTTCCTCCCTCACTGGTTTGTTCCTTTAGCGTGGGCTATTCTGTATTCCTCCACAATACCACCGTTCACAGGCACCAGCTCTTTAGTCGTCCTTATTCATTGTCCAACCGTTACAGGTATATAAAGTAACTGCAAATGCCATTCCTTGGCACAGATGCATCTTGGTTTTGAAAGTGATGTCCTTGATCTTTATCACTTTAAAGAGGTCCTCTTTTCTCTTCCTCTTTTTTATAGTGGTTGGGGTGGAGGTTTACAAGGCAAATGTTTCATTCACTTGTGCAATGTTTCATTCATCCACTCAGACATATTTCGCTCTCTCGCCTTAATTTCACTCCCCATAGGGACTTCTTGACATTCTAGGTTCTGGTTCTCTGGGTGCTGATCGTAGAGTCGAGGGAAATGAAATCCTTGATGCTGTCATTCTGTCCTCCGTTTCCCATGAGTGTGTTACCAGTCCATTTGTGAGGATTTTTGTTTATGTTGGCGAGTAATCCAGACTGAAGGCTACAGGCTCTGAGCTTCATTGAGACATTTATTTGGAGGAGACACAGTTCAGTCCGTGACACTGGCCTTTCCTCATCCTCATGTTACCTGCATGTTCAGGGATATTGTTATGGGAGTTGTGCCATTCCATTTCACCTGGAGTCTCCTTCACCATCCCTGGTCCTCTGTCACCATCCCTGGTCCCCCCTCACCATATCTGGTCCCCCTCACCATCCCTGGTCCCCCCCTCACCAAGTGTGATGTCTCCTCCAGCAACCAGTACCCCTGATGACCTGTCCAGAGCAAGAGAGTCAGATGGCTTTGTGTTGTGATCTAGATACAGTTTTCATTCACTAGTTTTTAAAACTAGATCACCAGGCCTTTCCTCCTAGTTTGTCTTAGTCTCTTTTGAAGCTTTTCCACGTGAGTATCACTGCTCAGTTAAAGAACTTGACTTCTAACTAAAAAGTTGATGGTTTGAACGCACTAGTGGCTCTTGATGTGATAATAGATGCCATAAAGAGTGCACCTTTGGAAAGCCCTTTGAGGACTTGTATTCTCTTCTTCTGTTCTCGGGGTTATTATGGGTTGGATTCAGCTCGATGGCAGTGAATTTGGATCTAAATAGAATGTTAAAGCTATCATTTTTAAATGATGATAACACAGAATCTAATCTTCACTAAAATCCCATGTACTTCTTCCAGCTGTCATTGCTTGTTTTTTTTTTCTTCTTCAGTAAATGGCCACGTTCTGACAACTGGCTCTATTTTATTTCAAACAAGTGGTAATTTCAATTCATTCAGACTCTCTGTTTGATAGATTAGGCTCCATGACTGAATTCAGAGGCATATTTAGAAAGAGATTTGTCCTTTCACAGGGAATAGTCTATGGATTCATTTCTGAAAGAGATTGCAAATATATGAACAACAAAAGCTTGGGAGAGACTGGGCCTCAACAGTTTTACACATTTGAATGTCACATATACACTAAAACATATGACGAGTGTGTGTGTGTGTGTGTGTGCTGTGTCAGTGCATTGTGGTGTGTAGATATGTGTGGCATGTGCACTTGTGGTATGTGTACCTGTGTGGTATGTGTAGTGTTTGTGAGGGGTGTGTGAGTGGTATGTGTAGGGCATATATATCATGCATACAAATATAGCATGTGCTATGGCTAATGCATGTGTGATGTGTGTATATGTGTTTGTTTTATGTGTTCTGTGTGCATTTGGTAAATATATATATGGTATGCATCTGATACAGGCCATGGTCTTTGCTATCACTTGTTATGTATCAGAGAGTTGGACAGTGACTTAGGAGGATAGAAGGAGAATTGATGCCTTTGAGCTGTGGTGCTGGAGAAGAGTATTGAATGTATGCTGGACTGCCAAGAAAACAGACAGATTCAGCCTGGAGAGGGTTAAGCCAGGCAGTTCCTTGGAGGCAAGGATTCTGAGGCTTCGTCTGACATACTTAGGACATGTTGTGAGGAGAGACCGGTCCTTGGAGAGGGACATCATGCTTGGGAGGGTGGAGGGATGGCACAGGAGGGGAAGGCCCTCTATAAGGTGGATTGATTCAGTGACTGGGGTTATCGGGACGGGTGTGTCAGAGACAGTGCGATTGGCACAGGACAGAGCAGAGATTAGGGTCGCTATGAGTCGCAAGCAACTAGACGGCACATAACAACAACAACATGTGCTTGTGTAAATGTATGGTGTGATTATTGTGTGGTCTTGTATATGGAGTATGTTGTGTTTAGTGTGTACATGTGGATGTATGGGGTGCAAAAGTGTGTATACGTTGTGTCTGTATTTCATGTGTGTTCATATGCCGTGTGTGTGTGGTTTGAGCACGTGTGTGCAATGTGTGTTGTGTCTGTATGTACATACCTATGCCATGTGTTTCATATGTTTATGTGTGTGGTATAGGTGTGTATATGCTGTATATATGTATATGGCCTCTGTGTGTGTGTGTGTGTGTGTGTATGGGATGTGTGTGTGATGTATCTAGTATGTGTATGTATATGTGTGCTGTGTGTATGTGCATATATGTTTGGCACGGATATATACATAGTATGTGTGTGGTCTGTGTGTGGTGTGTGTGCATCTGTATTGTATGTATATTTATGCCTGTGTGGTCTATGTGTGTTATGTATATATGGTATGGTATATAAACCTGTGTGGTGTGTGTATGTATGTGTTGTATGTCTTGGTGTGTATCTGTATGTGGTTTGTGCATATATATATGTATATACATGTTGTCTGTGTATATCATATGAGTGCAGTATGCATACGTGCATATGTGTGTGTACAGTTGTACATGGCGGGTGTGCAGAAGTGTGTGGTGTGCGCATATGCATGTCTGTGATGTGTAGTGTGTGCGTGTGCATGTGTGTGTATGTGTGTGTGTGTATCCTTTTAAATGCAGGGACACTAATATGTTTGCATAGTGACTGAGGGAACTCTTCCACATCCACTTCCAGAGAAATGCATTCCCAAGTCATTGACTAGCAGCTCAGGTGGCAGGGGCGTGCAGCCTTTGATGGGTCACTGCAAATGATCAAGGATCCACTTTTCATGAAGGTGAAATTAACACCCAATCTGTCTCCAACAGGTTCAACCTTTGGCAGTGAAGACCAGCCAGCTTTGAAGACCACTGTCCCTTCCAAAGATGTACCCAAAGGTGTCAGCCGAGCAGCGCCCCCAGCATCCACCAGTGCAACCGCCCCTCGCAGGAGTTTACTTCCAGCACCCAAATCAACATCCACGCCTTCTGGTAAGACAGCTGCTCTGGGGAAGCTCTGTGGTGGAATGCCTCATTTGGCTGTGGATAAAAGCACATAGATGTGTACAAATAGTGTTTTAGATGGGTAAGAAATCCATTCCTAACCCACTGCCAGCAAGTTGATGCTCACAGCCACCCTGTAGGACATGGTAGAACTGTCCCTTAGGATGTCCCAGGCTCTCATCTTACAGAAGCACACTGCCTCATCTTTCTCCCCTGAAGCACTACTGGTGGGTCCAAATCTCTGAGCTTTGGTGCTGGAGAAAAGGATTGAATTCACCACGGACTGCTAGGAAAACAAACAAGTTCGTCCTGGAGAGGGTGAAGCTAGGCTGCTCCTTGGAGGCAGGGATACTGAAGCTCCATCTGACATACTTCGGACATGTTGCAGGAAAGTTCAGTCCTTGGAGAGGGATGTCATGCTGGAGCAGGAGAGGAAGAACTTTGATGAGATGGATTGGTTCCATCACTGGGGTAATGGGTATGGGCATGTCGCAGACAGTAAGATTGGCAAGGGATAGAGCAGGGTACAAGGCTGTTGTACATAGTCACTATGAGTTGCAAGCAACTCAACGGCACATAACAACAACAATAATGCTTTAATAACCAAGCCCTCAGCTCTCCAGATGGGATGATAGATGAGTTTCAAATGGCATATAAATTTAATCTTAATAATAATTCCATTGTTTTCAGAGACCTTTTATGTTTAATGAAATCTCTGAGAGCTGGAACCTGACCAGGCTACCTTGCATTGCTGGGTCTCCAGTATCAAGTCCCCTTCATGGGGATCTTCTGTTGGTTTCCTTGCAGGAGGAAATTGATAATCTTTCTTCGTAGGATCAGCTAGTAGATTTGAACCATCAACCTTTCCATTAACAGCAAGATACATATGTATTATGCCACAAGTGCTCCTTATAAAAGGAGCTTTATTGCTCATAAATTAAATGAATGAAATATTTTCATATTGTGACTTCCAGGGGAAAAGAAAACCTACGATGCAAGAATATGAATAGAAACTAAATCTGAATATACATTGTTTTGTAGATTTAGCTTTGAAATGATACAGTTATTTGTGTGATTATATATTAACATTAAAATGAACAAATGACATAATCGCTGATTGGTAGCCTAATCACACAGAGAAGATAACTTTTCCACATGACTTTAAAAGAATTATTTCATTTTATCCCTCTTCTAAAATTCAAAATCCTGGGCAGCAATGATTCAGTTGCACAAGTCTTGCCTTCCACGCTGGAGACTCAAGTTCAGTTCTCCGCCAGAGCACTTCGCACAGCCATTGTGCCACCTGACAGTGTGGGTTTGTGTGTTGTTATGATGATAAACATACTTTAGCGAAACAGACTAGGAATATGGATCTGGCGAGCTACTTCCAAAATATCTCAATCTCATTGCCTTCAAGTCAGGACTAATTCACACCATACGTCCAACAGGTATAAATTACACGAGAGGAAATAGAACATTTTTCTATCATGGAGCCCCTGGTGGATTTGAACCACTGTAAAGGTACCACCTTTGGGTTACTAGCATAACTCCCTACCCACTAGGTCACTAGTACTTCCTCTCCAAAATAGCAGTGAATGTTGTTGTTATGTGCCGCTGAATTGGAACCAACTCATAGCTGACCCTTCAGTGGGTTTTCAGATGCCTATAAATCACATGCAAAGAGATTACCCATCTTTCTTCCATGGAGTAGCTGGTGGATTTGAACTGAGTGCTTTTGGGTCAGTCGTGCTGCTTCTTACCACTAGGCCACCAGAGTTCCTGCATGGATGGAAATTCTATACGTCACAATAGTCCAGGCCCAGTGTGCATGATGTCACTGTGAGTTGGGGGCTGGCTTGAGAGTACGTAGCAATAACGAAGTTCAGAAAGAATAGTGGTGAAATATTTATCCATCTTCAGTAATTATATTATTGGTGGTAGTTCAGTGTTGTTAGGCTTCATTTGCTGTTTTGAGTGTGTTAGCAGGAGGATCCAGTCTCTGGAGAATGACAACAGGCTTACAAAGGTGGGTGGTTGGCAAATGAGAGAGGAAGGCCCTCCCTGAGCTGGACGGATGCAGTGGCTGCTGTGACAGTGGGCCCGAGCACAGCAGACATTGTGAGGATGGTGCAGGATCAGGCAAGGTGTCACTCCTCTGCATGTAGGGTCACTGTGAGTTCAGCCAACTCAAAGGCACCTAACAACAGCATAACATCGATATTTGTTGTTATTTCGAGGAAGTCCCACATTTAAAAAAAACCCAAACAACCAGATTCTTACCACTGGGCCAGTAGGCTACATCATGATAAGACTGAAGAGACTGAGATTGTTAACCATTTTCGTTTGCTTGTCTCCACAATCAATACTCTTGGTACCAGCAGCCATGTAATTAAAAGATGAATTGCACTGGGAAAGTCTCCTGTCAGAACCTCTCCTGAGTTTAGAGCAACAATGTCAGTCTAGAGACTAAGGTGCCCCTGATCCAGGCCATGGAGTTGGCAATTACTTACTATGCATTAGAGAACTGGGCAGTGACTAAGGAAAATAGCTGAAGAAGATATTTGAATGTACCATGGACTGCTAGGAGAACAAACAGGTTCATCTTGGAGAGGGTAAAACCAGGCTGCTCTGTGGAACAAGGATTCTGAAGGTCCTTCTGACTTACTTAGGGCATGTGGCAAGGAAGGACCAGTCCAAGGAGAGGGACATCATGCTTAGGAAGGTGGAAGGACAGTGAAGGAGAGGAAGATGATGCATTAGATGGATTGATTCAGTGACTAGGGTAATGGGGGCAGGTGTGTCAGAAACAATGAGATTGGCTCAGGATAGAGCAGGTTTCAGAGCTATTTTGCATGGGGTCACTATGAGTCACAAGCCATTCAATGGCACATAACAACAACAACATATTGTGTGACAAAGCCTCTTATAGGGCTTCCAGAGCTGTCAACTTCATAGGAGCAGACTGAGTTCTAAAACCCCATAGAGTTTTCAAGTCTGTATCTTTGTCAGAGCAGCTGGTGGGTTTCAAGTACCCACTTTCCAACTAGTGGCCAATCACTTTAACCACTGTGTAACCAAGTAGCCTTGGTCATCCCCTGTGTTGCCTAAAAGCCCAAAGAACATGGAATTGAATTTTCAGCAGAGGGAGTGGATTAGGCCCTTGAAGCCAAAGACTCCTTCAAAGATGGCCAAGACTTTATTTTCAGATCTTCTCTAATGTAAGCTTTCCTTGCTTTTCATAAGCATTGCTGTCTAAAAGAAAATGCAGTCACTGAATTTCAGCTTAGCATTAATTTCACCAGATTCAGTTGCAGTAAGATCCAGCCTCTAAAATTCAATCAGCTTTCACAACCCCTTTCTTGTCACTGAGCTAATTAAAAAGAAGAAAGTAGATATTCAGAAAATCATTAAATCCCCAATAATTGGATTTCATGGGTTTGGGTTACATTAATGACTTGGGTAACGCAAACTGTTGTTTCAAACCCTTATTGTTGGAGCCATTTCTAAAGTGGGTGACTGGGCTTCCACCACCTGGTAATACCCAAGGAATGCTCAGTGATATCTTGCACCCCAGGATCATCAGCTCAGTTATACACCTTCCATTGTGGTGGTTACTGGTTTTTTGTTTTGTTTTGTTTTAAAATAATTTTAATGAGTATTTACAGATTTTGGATTTCCATTCACATTCATTCATTGCTGCACTTCTCTCCCCACCCAGCCCTCCACCCTCTCCCCCCAGTTCGCTCCTCTCTTTCAAAAGTAAAAGAAAGACTCCTTCCCTGGTACACAATCCCCCCGCACCCCTTCCACCACCCCAAGTACATTCCACTATGCAACCTTAATTGTGGACTCTTGTGATAACCATAATACCCTATCATACATCGCTTTTAAATTATTCACTCCCTCATCTGTTTCAGTGCAGTATACACAATTTATCCAGTTTTTCTCAGTCTTACCCCAACCCTGATATCAATCCCATTTTACAACAGTGGCACCATGCAATATTTGTCCTTTTGCGACTGAGATATTTCACTCAGCATAATGTCCTCCAGGCTCACCCATTTTGAATAATATTGCATGAGTTCCTTGTTTTTCAGTGCAGTGTAGTATTCCATTGTATGAATATACCACAGCTTCTCTATCCATTCATTTGTTGATGGGCACCTGGGTTGTTTCCAACTTCTTGCTATTGTGACCAGAGCTGTGATAAACATGGGTGTGCATGGTTGTTACTGTTTTTATGGGCCATCGAGTTGCCTTGATTTCAATACTGAAAATTTTGAAGCAATCTAAATATTAATCAGCATGAGTATATTTAAATAAGTGGTTGTCGTGTTGTTGTTAGGAGATTTTGAGTCAGCTATGACTCATAGTGGCCCTGTGAACAACAGAATGAAGTTTTGCTCGAACCTGTGCCAACCTCACGATGTCCTCCATACTCAAGCCAATTGCCGCAGTCACCATGTCAACATCCCATTGAAGGTCTTCAACTAAAAATGTTATAATACATTGATAACCAATCTCATTGAGAACTAAGTAAGTTAGGATGTAGTAATTCAATGAACTCACATGTAAACATTAAAAATAATGAGGTAGACCTACATGAATTATGCTGTTGTTTGGTGCCTTGAGTCAAATATGACTCATAGTGACACTATGAACAACAAAATTAGAACCTTGCCCTATACTGTGCCATTCTCACAATACCTACCATGTTTGGCCTCATTGCTATGGTCACTGTAACAGTCCATCTCCTTGAAGACAGTTTTCTCCCTGACTGACCCCTCTACTTGTCCCACCAATTCTTTTCCCAAGGATTGGCCTCCCCCGACAACATGCTCAAAATATGTGAGACAAAGCTTCACCATCCTTGCCTCCAAGGAGACCCTGGTAATGCCTTGTCCAAGACATACTTGTTTATTCTTTTGGGAGTCCTTGAATGTCTGTCACTCTTTGCCAACATCACAGTTCATAGGCATTGATTCTTC